GGTGAGATTTGAACAGCCGAACTGCAGAACTGCAGTCAGCTGAAGTAGCCTGCAGTGCTGCATTTAACCACTGCGCCACCTCGGCTCATATCAAGCAAATATGTAGAGTGAAAAATCTGGATTATGCTTGATTAATCTTAATATTATTTCAATTCAAAATGGTGCATCCACTTATAGAATCCAAGTATGAATTATTTTTATACGCCCATATCACATTGACTTATTTCTGGAGATACATGCTGCTTCAACAACTTCTCACATTATCTTGTTTATGGAATAATTGAAAAAATAAAAATAAAACTTTCAATCTCATTGTAGGTCATCCATACCTTTGGGCCCGACTTGATAGAAAACCAAACAAGCAAGCCGAGAAGAAGTTTAAGCAGTTTATGTACTCAGCAGAACGCTCAAAAGGTAGGGGCATTTTTCTGATATACATTGTAACAGAAAAAAGTGATCATGAAGGCATTTCATCTTAGGTTTCCCTCTGTCCTTGAAGAATTATGTAGAGAATGTCAATTCTTGATTAGCAGTAAGTTGAAATGTTTTGATCAAGTTCTGATTGTAGCTACAATGAATTAGTAGTTTGAATGTATAATATGCTATATGCTAAATAAATAAAGTAGTTTGAATATCCTTTGATTGTTATTTTGTCAGTGACAGTAATGAAAATAACCTCAGAAACTTTAAATGGGACAGCAAAAGTAGATGCAGATCAGTACTTGTCATATTTGCAACCTAATAGCAATGAAAAATTGACACAAAAGAAAGACTTGCCATTGCCAAATTGCTACTTGTTACTTACCCTCAATTGTAAACCTGTTGAAAGGCAGGAGATAGTTAGATGGTAACTTTTACAAAAGTGTTCATACTTTTTGCCTACAGGATTTACATGGAATATTGAAGATGATTTCAGGTCTGTCCCTGAATGCTGGATTCCAGCCAAGGAAATAGAGTACTACAATGGAAAGCCTTTTCCTGATGAAAATGGACACATTCCAGGTATAAAAATATCATTTAATATGAGAAATTCTATTCTAACCATCTAAAGTCCTCTTTCATTTAAAAAAGATTTCATTTTTAGTGTTAATTAGAAATTACTCTGAGAAACATTTTAGAAAAATCTATACATTAGATGAAGTTAGAGATATAATGGTACTGTATCACGTAAAGGATATCTATATGTGGTGATTTGTACAACATCAGATTGGAAAGTACAGTTAATTTTGCCTACTTGATCAGAAGAAAAGGAACTGTGTGCTCTTCTTTTTATCTTTCTTAGGAAAATCCTATTTCTTCCTGATCTTCAAAATATGTCATGAAAAATACTCCTTTCTCTCATTTTGAACTTTTCTTTCATGAACTTTCAAGTTTATTTTTCCCTCTCCAAAAAGAAAATCTTAGGTAAACAAACCTTTTGTTTCCTTTATCATTTTATCAGTGATCTTAAGTCCTCCCTTCTATTTTAAAGATAAATTATGTTGTGGGGAGGAGAAACTAGATGAATTCAGGTGAATTGAGCAAAACATCTTATCCTGAAGATTTTCATTTAACATCTTTCCATTTGGAAATAATACAAGCAAAAGAAACATTAATATGTAAGCAGCTACCTGGAAAATATACATTCCCTTCCTGAGAATTGCTCACCACAATTTCAGAGCGAAAATTGTTAATGGACTGAGGTCTGCACTATGCTAAAAATAGAATTCTTTCCAACTAACTTACTAATGCTGTCAACAAATATACCAATTACCAAAAATTGGTAAGAGGCAATGCTATGGTTATTTACTATAACCATAAGATTAACCTTTCCCAGTCTGGGCACTCTTCAAGTCCCAGAATTCCCAGCACTGACTCTGCTGGTTGAGCATTCTGAAAAGTGAAATTCACATATCTGTAAATCATTCAAGTTTCAACAATTGCACTAATTCTTACAAGTTTGATATTCTGTTGTGATACTGTTTGAAAGAAAATTGCAGGTTAACAAATCATGCTTTAAATATTTCCTAGTTAAATTGAGAGTAGAATATTAATCCTTACCATGAAAATCTTGTTTTTATACTCACATTCATTATTCAAAATGTTTTTAACTGTACACTAGCCAGAGTCACTCTGATAGTCAGAGGGTTGGTTCCTAAAAAGTGCATTATAGTAGACAGGTTGCTGTTTGTTCTTAAATTATTGATGACGGTGGTTTTTAAATGTTAAAAGTTTTTGTGAGTCATGTAGTTCCTTGACTTCTGAGTTAGTAGGAGTATTTAATCTTGAATACCTCTGTGCTCCAAGTTAAAAAAAAAAACATGTTTCCCGATTTTTTTTTTTTATTTGAAAACACAAGAATAAGCTATGGAGTTTTTCCTTTTTGAATTGAAATAAAATTGGATCTTAGTAGAATCCCACTGTTGATTAGTGCTTATTTTTAAATCACTCATTTTCTGTACAATAAAACTTATATTTACCTCATTAATATTTTTATTCATATATCAAATCAAATGATACTAACATTGTGTTTCATAATAATCAGGTTGGGTGCCAGTAGAAAAAAACAGCAAACTATATTGTTGGCATTCTTCTGCTGTTGATTATGAATATGAACTTGGTCTCATTCTGAAGCATCATGCTGAGGAACCTGATCTTCTAGAAATCTGTTCAGTACCTTTAAGTGAATTTACAGAGCAGACACTAGAACTTATTGGAACAAATATTAATGCAAATCCATATGGTAAGCGCTTCAACTCATTTTTTTTTAAAAAAGTCAGGTAATATAGCAAAACCATTATACTAAAATTACAAATAATGTAGAAATGAAAATGCACAGTAAAAGTGTAATGAAGTTAATTAGAAAGGTAATCCAGTGTTTCAAATAGTGAACATAGCATTTGTCTGGAATTGTTTAAAGCAGCATGGCCTCTGTTTGTAAGCGTGAGCCATATATGACAAAATTTAAAGAGTCACAGACAGGTGCTGTGTACATGCACTAATGAATTAAGCAACAGGAATTATTTTTCCAATTCTAGTATTTAGGTTATTTTGTGAAAGTGTTCATTCTCCTGTGTGCTGCTTGGGGAATCCAAGCATGGGTTAACTTTGTCCATTAGCATAGAGACTGAGTATGTAAATGTTGACCACGCTTCCTCTGACTGGATGGGTCAGTTTTTTTACTCAGTCCAGCCTAAAGAGACGTATCTCAATTTTCTCTAGATTAATTGACAAAATTCTCATCTTTTCTTGGATTCAACGATCGCTAATGAAGTGTTAAACTGATTTATTGCTATCGGAGGTGGATGCGGCAGTTCACTGCCAGCCCAAAACCTTTTGTCGTCGGATTTATCGCCCGGGATTGGGGGCTGCGAGGTCCACAGGCTCATTGTGCGTGGATGCAGAAGCAACGCTTCCAAGAGTGGAGTTGGGGTGCCGTTTCCCTCGTTTACTGTTTACGCACATCCTGGGCTAGTTCGCCACCCTGCGCCGGGAGCGACCCACCTGTGCGGCGTAGTTAATTTCCAGGTGTTCCGTGCCACCGTGGTAGTTACCTTTGAATGGAGCTGCAGCCGTTCTTGCCACGGTGCTTGTGAGCTTGCACAACTCCCTGGCACTTATTCAGAGGCTTGCCAGTTTGAATTTCGTGCCTTCTGTGGCGGTCGCCATTTTGGATTGAGGCTCTGTGCGCGCACCGGAAACAGCCGGAGGAGGCGTGGCGTGTAATTTCGCACCCAGGCATCGGCACTGTTCTGACGGCCCTCCTCTTTCCCTCACTTGCAGCTTGCTGGCTTACTGAGGAGGTCGTCTCAGCACAGCTACTGTCTCACGTGGTGCCTTGTGCGGTGGTGCGAATTCGTGGCGCTTGCAATATTAAGTGAGATTGAGCCCTTTCAAATCTCCCTGTTTGCAATGGCTGACCAGTCCACTTGCGGAGGTACTGTAGAGCGCGTGTGTGAGCCCCATTTCCCCTATGAGGGAGGAGCTAGCCCAAGGCCCGGCAGGGCCGCTACTAGGGCCTCATCCGCTGTTCGGGATAAATCCCATAAACACAAGGATAAGACCAAGGCAGTGTCTAAAGCCTCTGGGGCACCTTGCTGCTCACCCCCAGTCCTGATTCCGCAACGGGTTTCACCAGTATGCCCTACAGAACAGGGTTGGTCTCCTGATATACAATTGCCCTGGGCACCCTTTTTGCGGAGGGGGTATTGGGGCCCCAAATCCCCCCAATCATATCGGAAGCTAGTGTGGCTTCAGCCCGCTCGCCCCCACGTGCAGGGCTTTCTGCTACTTTCACTTTTACTGCTGCAAGCCTCAGGCCGGTGGAAGGCCAAGAGTTGGGCCTTCCTCCTGATCTTTACCAGATGATCTCTGC